TTAACCCAGCGCTGGGTTATATTTAACCCAGCATTTTTTAAAGTGAAGATGCGGGAAAGCTGCTTTCTCTGTTGTCCTTCCTTCACATTTGTTCCTTCTCTCCAACGTCCTTTCCTTTACCCATCCTTCCCTTCAATCAGTTCACCCAAAATGGTTATTCTGCAAAATAGTTCTAAGTTCTATGTCAATGCAAGTGAATTTACAGACATGTTTGGTGTCATTTGAATTGTCTCAATGTGACTGGTACATGGTCTCATTCCCTCAAGAAGTCAACTAAAAGGTAATAAAGATTAGATAATGAAAGAATTTAGAGATATTTTACTTACTTTAGAGGGTGGACCCTTTCCCAGTGTCTTTTATGCAAATCACCCTCTGTCTCCAAAAAGGTGAACTACCCGGGTCTAGGCTTTGATTAATGCAAATTCCAATTATTAGTTGCTGCCTCCACTTGGAGGGTGTTTTGTCTTGGTCTGGGTACTTAAGGAAAAATTACAAAAGCTTCGGGGTGATTTTGCAGATGAGCCCATATTGTTACCAACTTTGTTCAAAGATTCTGTGTTTCCTGAAACCATAGTTCAAACGAATATTTGCAAACAGCATTGCAAACTTACGTGGTTGAAACTACAGCTCTCGACCTGTGGTTAGAAGCATAGTTTCTTATTAGTAAGGCGTGGATTTAAATGGATTGTGCTCTTGGACACAGTAAGCAAGCTAACATGCAGTACAATCTATGTCTTCCATTCCATTTAAATATATATCCATTTCAATCTAATTTTAGCATGTCCTCAATAGGCACTGTTTTTGAAGACGGCACGTTTGCATAAATACCTAGGGGAACCCCAGAGTATGATGAGGGAACTCCCACTAACAAGCTCCCACTCTATATTAAATCGGCTTCCACTTTGTCTGAGTTCAAGTCATGTCTCAAAACTTATTTATTCTCTGTTGCTTTTAGTTTATAAGATTGTTTGGTTTTAACTGTTTTGCTGCTATTAGTGTACTCAGCTTTTTTAATTTGATCTTTTCTTGTACAACGCTTTGGTCGGCCTGCAGCTAGGGTTGTGACGGTGAGGAAATTTCCCACCGGTTAATCGACGTGTGACAACACCGGTAATACCGGTATCACCGTTGGGGTGGGGGTGTTAGTTCGTTTGAGTTTCCCTATTTTCTTCGCTTTCAAATGGCTTGTAAAAGTGCAGTGCACATTTTACTTTCACTTTCAAATTAGCGGCAATTCGGCGTTGATTCAATTCAAGCAACAACAACGTCAAACTCATAGAACTTTTATTAACAAAACGAATAAAAATACACCATATATGCCTAATAAAATAACAAATTACTTAGGCTACACAAAGTTTAAATAAAGTAATCAGCAAACACTGTGGAACCAAATAAATAAGAAACATAGAACGTTTATTAGCAAAACGAATAAGAAAGCTTGGAGGCATGTAATATACACCTTGATGTAAAATAAAATAAATAAAATACACAAAGTTTAAATAAAGTAATCAGCAAACACTGTGGAACCAAATAAATAAGAAACATAGAACGTTTATTAGCAAAACGAATAAGAAAGCTTGGAGGCATGTAATATACACCTTGATGTAAAATAAAATAAATAAAATACACAAAGTTTAAATAAAGTAATCAGCAAACACTGTGGAACCAAATAAATAAGAAACGAATGTTAAAAAAAATTTCCAGTCAACAGGCTTTTCAAAATCTAAAATATTGCCAAACGGGCGCCTTTGCATATCCTTTCTAAACAATCTTCTGCCATCGTCTTGTCTTTCTCACCTCGCTCTTGTCAGTCAGCTCGACTCACTCTCCTCACGTGATAAATAAAATCTGACTCCTGCTCCGTGGTACACTGTCGTTCGCGCACGGTTCGGCACGCTGCATTGAGCGTTTAGTTTTTAAAAGTGTCTGTCCTCTAACTGAACTAGGCTAAATGATTTTTGTTACTATAAAAAAATCTAAACGACGGTGGGGGGCGGTGCCGCGGTAGGCAAATGACGTAACCTAACCCTATAACCGAAAACACCGTCTATCGCAGCAAGCCTACCTGCAGCCGTTTTTAAATGTGCTTTATAAATAAACTGAACTTGAACTTGAACTTCAAATGCTTAAATTTGCATCTTAATTAAATTTATCTTGATTTAAGGATGTTTAGATATTTGTATTGGAAAACAAAATACTGAGGAATATATTCATTTTTTGCAGTCCTTAATTTGTGAAAGGGAGAATTCATATTTTTTAAGACCCGCAAAAACCCCTAAATAATGTATAACCCACAAAAAAAGATCTGTCTTTCAAAACACATTTTATTTTCATGAAAATTTAATCGACTGACTGTAAATTGATTATGAATAGACATTCCCTTGCTCAAAACAAACATACATTTTCAGTGTTACTATGAACCTTTTAGTCAGTTAGTGTGATATCATTCGAAATTCAAAACAAAATTCTATATATATAAAAAAAACTATTTAGCATTTATAGGATCCAGAAAATAACAATAATAATTAAAAAACTAAACTGTATCTATCACTCAGTAAGTGATATTTTTTTTATTTCATTAGTAAAACAAACAAAAGCAGTACAGAGCAGTTAAAAGCCTAACCTTGAATCATCTTTGAACATTTATGTGCTGACACAATATTCTGGTGTTGTATTTTAGCAGTCATAACTGAGCTCACCTATCAGGCGGTACTGGTGTGATATCTATACGTGGTGGAGTAATGAAACCCAGTGACGTGGGTCTGGAAACGTGATCTTCTTGAGGGCTGCGGGCCCTCTCTGCCTGTCTCCATGACAACGGCGGCAACACAAAGGTTCCTGAGTGGCGTCTGGAACCTCGCCAGAGATCCACACCCAACGTAGCTCCTGAAGACGGACATCCTGAGAGGTCCTTGCTGTCCTAACATCATAAAAACAGAGCAGAAATGTTGTAGCTGTACATTATACATCAGCACCTAAATACAGTATGATTATGCACAATTAATGAACTCCTCAGGAAATTAATACATGTATAAATAAATGAAATAATATATGCAAGAATCATGTAGTGTGTTGAGGCATACACTGGAGGGCACTCTATAATTGAGTCAATATATAATCAAAATTGACCCTTTTCTTAAATCAAGGTTCCAGGTCTTAATTTTGAATGATTTATTAGGGTATGTTATACCAAAGAACAAAATATTCCATAAAAATGTAATAACGTGCTTGGCTTCTGAATGATCGACTACTCTTGTTTTTAAGCCCTTCCCCTAAAACCACCTATTATATACAATCCAATCAATTCCTGATGGATAAAAGTACCATCTTGCATTATTTCCTGTTGTTGAATATCCTGTTTCACACAAAATAAAACAGATAAAAGAAAAAAGTCTCTTCTGTTCACCAAGGCTGCATTTATTTGATCAAAAAATACAGTTAAAACATTGTGAATCATTATTGCAATTTAAAATAACTGTTTTCTATGTTAAAATTTTTTAAAATGAAATTTATTCCTGTGATCAAAGCTGAATTTTCAGCATCATTACTCCAGTCTTCAGTGTCACATGATCCTTCAGAAATTATTCTAATATGCTGATTTGCCGCTCAATTACTATCAGTTATTGGTGTTCAATTATTAATAATAATTCTTATTATTATCATGATGAAAACAGTTTTTGCTACTTAATATTTTTGTGGAAAGTGATTCTTTGATGAATAGAAAGTTGAAAATAACAGTGTTTATTTGAAATTGATTTTTTTTGTAACCTTATAAATGCCTTTACTGTCACTTTTGATCAATTTAATGTATCCTTGTCAAATAAAAGTATTCTAAACAAAAAAAGAAAAAACGTACATACCCCAAACTTTTGAATGGCAGCGTATCAGTTTCCACAAAAATATTAATCAGCAGCAAAGCAGCATATTAGAATGATTTCTGAAGGATCATGTGACACAAGACTGGAGTAATGAAGCTGAAAATTCAGCTTTGATCACAGAAAAAAATTACAATTTAAAATATATTAAAATAGAAAATAGATTTTTACAATATTACTGCTTTAACTGTATTTTCAATCAAATAAATGCACCCTTGGGGAGCATAAAACTTATTTTAAAAACATTCAAAATCTGAATTATTCCAAACTTTTGACCAATAGTGTATTATATTTTTAAACTTTTTTTAAATTTTCTATTAAAATTTGTTCTATGCAGAATCAGGAAATTGTTGAATCTTGCATCATTTGTTTCATCATTTTCATGAAAACAAAAATTTTCTTATGACACAAAAATATTTTTACAAACACACAAGTTTTATGACACACACAAGTGTGGGAACCTGTACTGGACTTTGTCAGTCAGCCTTTTCCATAAATTGTGTTCTTATCTTGGTTTGTTCAGGTTAATGTCAGTGAAGTAGCTTTGGGTGATCTATGGCTCATTTACGCTACATGACTTATATCAAGCCCTGTTCAGTTTCTACTGCTCCAACACGTTGACTTCATCACCTGACAGTTCTTTATACATACAGCATGTTTAACGGCTGGCTCCCTCAGCGTGATTGCATATCACTGTCAGTGTAGCCGCTGGACAACATCATTTGTAACAGCCTGTAGCTGAAGACGGAATATATCACCACCAAATATGTTTATAGCTCAATTAGAATTGCCCAGAAGAGAGGAGTGTTACCAGGAATTCCTCGAGCACGGCCTGTACACTGGGATAGCTAACGGATGGGAATCAAGATATTGAGAGAGAGAAAACAGCTACTGCTTCTGTTTGACTGGTTGAGTATGAACATGAGTTTAGGACTATAGCTATAATTCTGGGAAATGTATTGACACTTTGATGAAGAGCTGTATCAGAAAGCAACAGCAGTAATTGGATGAATCTCATGAAACCTGTCTAGAACAAGTCTGGGTCATATTTCATCCTGAAGCCAGAGGAAGCAAATAAATAAAGTTGATTTTGCATGAAGAAAACTCTATTACAGGACCATTAAGGGTAATTCTCATTAAAAATTCTCATGTAATGTGTCTGGATTTTTTCTTTTCATATGTTTTCTTATGTTTTAATTTGTAGTATTTTTTTATTTAACAGTCAGTAGCTAAAAATGTATTATTTAATTATGTATATTATGTATATTTGTGCATAATGGTAATATTTAGTGTACTAGAATTTTATTATACAAATTATTATACATAATTAGAAATTTGGTAAAAACAGTAATATTGTAAAATATTTTTACATTTTAAAATAACTGTTTTCTATCTGAATATATAGTAAAATGTCATTTACTCCTGTTTTGAAAAGCTGAATTTTCAGTATCATTACTCCGGGCTTCAGTGTCACATGATCCTTCAGAAATCATTCTAATATGCTGATTTGCTGCTCAGTTATTATCAATTATTATTGGTGCTCAAATATTAATATTAGTGCTTATTATTATCATGATGAAAACAGTTTTTGCTGCTTAATATTTTTGCAGAAATTGATTCTTTGATGAAAATTATTTCAGGACAAATTATTTTCCAAGTTTTTAAATAATTTTCCAAGACTGCAAAGCTGCATTGGAAATATCAATCATTCATTCATTCGTTCATAAATAAATAAATAAAGTATATTACAGTAATGCCAATTATCATTAAGAATAAAGTAATGATTTACATGAATTGTCATGTATATAATGTCACAATAGAAAAAAATATTAATGGTCCTAAAAAACACATACATAGCATAGCATAGCATAGCATAGCATAGCATAACATAACAATCTTTTGGGGTCTACCTTGAAAAATCTGTTATACTGTGAAACTGAAAGCATTAAAACAAAGTGTTTATTACTGAGCAACTATGAAGGTCATGAAAAAATGGCTTCATATAGCCCAGTTAATTAATGGAGGGGAAATTAATTGAAAGGAAAGGGGAATCCTATGAGAAGTGTATGAAGTATCAACGAATAATCATGTCACGCTTTACAGATGTTAAACATAACATAACATAACATATAACATAACATAACATAACATAACATAACATAACATAACAATCTTTTGGGGTCTATCCTGAAAAATCTGTTATACTGTGAAACTGAAAGCATTAAAACAAAGTGTTTATTACTGAGCAACTATGAGGGTCATGAAAAAATGGCTTCATATAGCCCAGTTAATTAATGGAGGGGAAATTAATTGAAAGGAAAGGGGAATCCTATGAGAAGTGTATGAAGTATCAACGAATAATCATGTCACGCTTTACAGATGTTACAGCCATTGCAATACAAGTGACACCTCCTCAGCTCAGACAGCATTAAAGCCCCGAAGGCTGCTATGCTCTGGACTGAATGATAAAAATATGAGGCCGAGAGAGAAAATTAGATATTTTCAATGGCTGAATTGAGGGAAACATGGTGAAGAAGGATAAGGCTGCCCAGAGGCATTGATCCAGTAAATAAATAAGTAAACAAATACATAAAAGAGAAATAAAGATATACATGGACGTATGTCCAGAGACCGGCCGATCGCTGGGAGGATCGGTTACCATGGCAACCACTCTGACTCCTTTAATGATGAGTATGACTGAGGGTTAAGCTACAAGGCTTGTCAGTAAACACGCACGGCCAGAGCTCAGGGATAGGAGTTTGCTTGGAGTTTACCAACTCAAAGCCCCGAAGGCTGCTATGCTCTGGACTGAATGAGAAAAATATGAGGCCGAGAGAGAAAATTAGATATTTTCAATGGCTGAATTGAGGGAAACATGGTGAAGAAGGATAAGGCTGCCCAGAGGCATTGATCCAGTAAATAAATAAGTAAACAAATACATAAAAGAGAAATAAAGATATACATGGACGTATGTCCAGAGACCGGCCGATCGCTAGGAGGATCGGTTACCATGGCAACCACTCTGACTCCTTTAATGATGAGTATGACTGAGGGTTAAGCTACAAGGTTTGTCAGTAAACACGCACGGCCAGAGCTCAGGAGTTTGCTTGGAGTTTACCAACTCTAACTCTTTGGACCTCACAAAATCCACTTCAAGGATTTAAAGGGATAGTTCACCCAAAAATCAAAATTCTGTCATTAATTATTACTCATCCTCATGTCGTTCCAAAACCTGTAAGACCTTCATTCAGTGGTTCAACCATAATTTTATGAAGCTACGAGAATACTTTTTGTGTGCAAACAAAACAAAAATAACGTCTTTATTCAACAATTCAACGCATTCCTCTGCTTGAAAACAAGCCGCAGCGCATGCGTGTTCTATGTTAACAGGATCACACGAATGCGTCGTGGTTCTCTCGTGAATGGCGGCGGAGACTGATGCGGAAGAGCAGAATTGTTAAATAAAGTCATTATTTTAGTTTTCACTAAACATTATTTTAGTTTGTGCACAAAAAGTATTCTTGTAGCTTCATTACAAGAATGAATTATGGTTGAACCACTGATGTCACATGGACTATTTTAACGATGCCCTTACTACATTTCTGGGCCTTGAACGTGGTAGATCCGTTGCTGTCTATGAAGGGTCAGAAAGCTCTTGGATTTCATCAAAAATAACTTAATTTGTGTTTCAAAGATGAACGAATGTCTTACAGGTTTGGAATGACATGAGGGTGAGTAATTAATAATAAAATTTTCATTTTTGGTTGAACTAACTCTTTAAAGTAGAAAAAATGTGCCTGGAAAATGAGCCTATTTTCAAAAATAGTGGAGTGTTCCTTTAAGCCCTGCAGTTTGGGGAAAAAGCTAATGTACAAATCAATAAAGCCCTAAGAGATCACGAGCATCAGACAAACAGATTCTCTCCTGAAACAGATGGACAGCATGTCCTCTATGTTCCCCTGCCTTCCTGCGGTCATATGCCTCTGAGTCAATGAGAGTCACATGCACAGCACTAAAACCAGGCTACAGATGTTTCAATATCTGTCAAGTGAGAAACTGTCAAACAATTGTTTTTTATTTGAAACAAACATTTCATAGCTCTAGATATTATTATAAGTGATGCATTTAAATCGAAAAAGGATCTAGTAACCAGAATATCACATGGGCTTTTCACACTTGAAAATGTTTCACACTGTATATTAGACTACTGTCCTATTTTTGCATATTTAAAATGTCAATAACATTGATTGGAAAAATACAGCTCGCGGCGGACATGTGACCTGTTTGTCCATGTGCAAAATTTCCACTCTGGCTTTTAGTAAATAATATGGTCTCATATCAGTTGACCATCACCGCCATTTTCAGTTTTCTCTCGAATGCTAAAGCCAAATTGCAAAAGTTCAAATTGCATGAATATTTAAAGAATTGTTTAGTGTACACTGTAAAAAAAAAAGAAAAAAAAGCAAGCTGTGGTTGCTAGAAAATCACTGCAAAATATGGTGACAGTGTATCAGGTATTACAGGATGGCATACTGGTACCTGTATATTTTGCAATTTATCAGTTATATTTCATTAAGTGCTATAATGAAAATGTATAATATATAAATGATGAACTTTGAACTGTTATTGAACTGAATTGAATCAACACTGAATTGATTTAAGCTGAATAATGACACTATTAACTTCTCTTCTATAGAGTTGCTTTAGTTGCATTGAGTTTTTTTTATAACTGATGAACTTTGCAACACTGACACTAGTGCTGCACAATTAATCGAATTTCTAATCGCAATTACAATTATGGATGCCACAATTATGTAATCGTTCAAAGCGGCAATTAATCGTTCGAAATCCACTTATGTTATTCTGCACGCTTAAGATATGTTTTTCTTTCTTTCTACATGTTATCTTAAGGGTTTTTCCCATTATTTTAATTGTAGCTTTAGTATAACATTATTAAACCATTCATATTTGTACTTTTTTATAATTTAAAGAAGAAACCAATCCGATGTATAGTTGACATTTGAGGATTAATACTATAGAAAAGCACTAAAACTTTTTCAGTTAAAGTGTTTTCAGCTTGTTTTTTTTCATATAAAAATACGGCATGCAGTTGCATCAAACAATGGTATAAACATCATTCAGTGTAAATTGTGATAATCGTAATTAATCATCGCAATTACAATATCAAGGGAATAATCGACAATTATGATTTTTGTCATAATCGTGCAGCCCTAACTGACACTGTTATTCAACTAAATGAAATCAACACTGAACTAAATTGAGCGGAATAATGACACCATTATCTTCTAAACAGCTACTTTACAGCTGAAAATGAATTTGTTTTTTAATTTATGAATTCTGCAACACTAATACTATTATTTTCCTGTTTATTACTGTAAAGCTGCTTTGAAACAATCTTCAAAAAAAAAATGTAAATTTGTCACCGTAGCTATATGGTAAGGTCATTTACAATTAACCAATTAACATTTTTTGCACTTGTTCTGGCTGCATTTTTTACTTGTCTGATGCTAAACAGCTTTCTTTAACATTTTAGCATCACAATGTTTTACAGTGTATGCCTTTGACACTTCATTGGCTTGAACCAATAAGCAACCATTCTAACAACTGCATAACAATGTTATAAAAAAACAAAAACATTCAGAACCATTAGCAATCACACAGCAACATCCTAGCAAGTTAGCAACCATCCACAATGGCCTAGTACAGTAACTTATGCACAGGCAAACCCCACTCAAATTCTTCTAGAAAAAAAAATGAAAATCTACAATGTAAAAATTATTTTTTATAGATGCAAATAAAACAAAGTTTATTGGAGTATCCTGTACAAGAAAATACTATTTCAGCCTTTCTACTTCAAAATTTTGTTTAATTCAATGTCAAAGTCTCCATAAGTAATGAAATCCTGCATCACTTGTTCTGAAGAATGATTTCAATGAAGAGGGTGATAAGAGGGCTGCAGCCATAGACTGAGCAGGTATTCAGATGTGGACGCTATCATAGGCAGTAGAGGTGAATGTCAAGCTTTCACTGAGTGCTAGTGAAGAAAGGTGAGAACTGCTTTTTACAGAAAATCACTATCAGCCTCATTATTTCAGTTCATTGTGCATGTGTACTTGCAAATAGACTATTGAAGAAGTGAAGGTATTGTTCTTCCAAGTACAGGAACCTAATCCAGAACTTTAAGGATGTTTTATGAAATCTCCCAAAGGTTTTGCTAATCTGTTGAACAATGTCACGGCTCTTTTACTTTTCAAAGACAAAAACCGACTGTCATATCATCCAGCACAGCATAAATAAAGAAAATACTGAGTATACCTTTCTTTAAAGGTCAAGTCTGTAATTTCTGTGTGAATAATGCACCAGAAGGAGAAATAATGTTTGTTTACCCAAACACTTTCACTTCCCAATTAAAGTGCCACCAGCCATTACTCAGACAAAACTGGTCGTTCCATGTCAAAATCATGGTATTGGTTGAGGCAGAAGTTTTGGGTTGTTTAAACAAACAGAGCAATGTCTTGAAAGCATCACTAAGTGACAATGTTTTCACTCTTCTGAGAAATCAATATACATCTATCTCTGCACAATAAATTCAACATGAAATGGAAACTGATCAGATTTACTCTGATAAATGTACCTAGTCCTATTGACCATTGCTATATTGTCTTCGCTTTTTTCCCCTTATTTAGTTTTGGATAGCTCTTTTCATAATTCGCATTTAGCAGATTAGAGCCAGGCGATAATATGGTTTAAATTTTGTGACAATACAAGTGTGACGAGTGGGGGCGGGGCCGAGAGCCGTGGGAACGGAGTGAGGCCGGTGGAGTAATTGATAATGAGCGACACCTGCACCACTCACCGGTCTCGAGTCCCACGGAGGAGCTCCGGAAGGATAAAAGGTGGAGCTACGACAGTGAAAGTCGAGAGAGGACCAGGCCTGGATTTTATTTTGTGTTTTGTGTGCGGCAGTCGTCCGCGAGGGGCTGCCGCTTTACTTTCATTTTGTGTTTGTTTATTTTATTAAAATCTTAAATGTTCGCCGGTTCCCGCCTCCTTCTTCCCGACCTACGAACGGTGTTACATTGGTGCCGAAACCCGGGAGGAGGAAGGAGGGACACGCTGTCAGAGAGCCCTTGCTACTGAGGGGGATCGCGGTGCTGAGGAGATCGGGCAGCAGGAACAAGCGGAGAGACGCCGGTGGCTGCCCGAGGCGGTGGTGCTGGAATGATGGAAGATGAGGTGGGACGGAGAGCTCGCTGCCACGCTCCTGGGTCGAGGAGGGGTGGCTGACGTCCGAGAGGGAGCGGAGGAGTCGGCCCCGTTCGCCAGGAGGCCGGAGCCTGCTGCCGTCCGCCATGATTGGGGAGGAGCAGGGAACGGGGGACTCGCTGCCAGCTGCCCTCAACAGGAGGAGCCATCGCCGTCCGCCAGGAGGCGGAGGAGCGGTGGGCCGTCCACCAACGATGTCCAGTACCATCGCATGGCACCGCGAGTGAGAGCCTCTCAGCCGGTTGAGGAGCAAGCGGCAGTGTGTCCGGGAGCCGGACCGATTATTTTTTTTTTCTTTTCCTCTTTTCCCTCTCTCGTATCTGTCTCTCCTCATCCTTCCTTCTCCTTTTCTCTCGCCTCGTCTGTCTGTCCTTACCCCCAGGTACGCCGCTGCCGCCGTGATCGGCTACCCCAGAGGGGGGGAGTAAAGCGCAGTCTCGGGAGTACCCCCGGCCTGCGAGGGGCGATGGGGGTATGTGACGAGTGGGGGCGGGGCCGAGAGTCGTGGGAACGGAGCGAGGCCAGTGGAGTAATTGATAATGAGCGACACCTGCACCACTCACCGGTCTCGAGTCCCACGGGGGAGCTCCGGAAGGATAAAAGGAGGAGCTACGACAGTGAAAGACGAGAGAGGAAAAGGCCTGGATTATATTTTGTGTTTTGGATCTGTTTGTGCGAGACAGTCATCTGTGACTGTCCGACAGGGGCTGTCACACTATTTTGTGTTTATTTTATTATTAAAGTTTTGTTCAAATGTTCGCCGGTTCCCGCCTCCTTCTTCACCTTTGAAGAGAAGAGTTTAATTAATATGATGTAAATTAGAATTCAAAGACTGTAAAATGTTAAGCCTAATTTGGTTACAACCAACTGAGTTCAGGTTATTAAAAACATCAAGAAGACAAATGAATGACTGCCCTTTTTTCGACTCTGTCCTTCTTTCCTCTGGTAAGGTTTTATGGTGCCTGCCATCTTTTCCCATGTCCCTCATAAATAGCTATTAATATTATGTGTGTGCATATTTGGGTTTGTGTGTGTGGTTAATTGGTTGTTTATGTTCTCGTAGACACGCTTGCCTAGAGCTTGTTGATTGTTTTAGTTCTTTCTCTAGAAATCATAGGAACACAGGATGTTATTGCAGAGAAAACCTGGCTGTTTCATAGGTAAAACATATAAAGGGCAAACTAGGAGAAAAAATAAGTGATTTTTTAAACATCTAAATTGCATTGACCATATATTGGGGGCAGAATAAAAAATCACAGCATAGCATTATCATCTATTCATGTTTAAACACAACAGTAAAATGTCTCACATCACTAGGTGTCACTGCCAAAACGCTCCGGCTCTTCCTCATGATCTCTGCTGACAGCTCAAGCTCAGAAGGGTCTTCTGTCTCTTGGGACTCTGCTGTGAACTGTAGCCAGAGTAAAACAAAAAAAAACATTAGCATAATTTTTCATCAAACCCTCCACTGGGCCAAATTAAAAGTCACCATTTTCTCAGTTTTGATTGTTAATTTCTTGTGTTCAGTAACATTAGAATAAAGACAATAAACCAAAGAAACATCAAATTATAAACAATCGATCGAAGCGCTTGAATTCGGCGAAGAACTCAAATGTCTCAGTGATTTAAACTAGTTTAAAGGCAGGCAAAACAGTGATGACAAACAGGAGAAACACTGTGCTCAATGATTCAGTCAGAAGGTTTTTCAATCTACAGATCGCCATCATTTACCATGGATTTACTGTAGTAACACTGACTGCACCATGGTGTTGTGGCAGAAATGTGGGATATTTTAATTGAATTTTATTATAATATTAATGTAGGCATGTATTAAATGTATTAAAGGAGTAATGGAATATAATTACAGGCTATTTTTTGTGATTAAGCTATAGTGTTTGTGCATCATACTAAATATATTTGGACTACTGCTTTTCATACAAATACCTAGAATACCATGGTATTGAGGTGCTATATGTGTGGTTTTAACTGGGGTTATTATCATGATCTAAATGTATGCTACTATGGAAGTAGCTCATGGATAAAACTCAACTCAACAGTCATAATAATTACATTTCACCATATAAAATGTAGTTGTTAAAATTATTACATATGTTACTGTTTTTGATAATGAACATAAATTGTCAACTGCATCCAAACTCAAGCTACTACTACTGTAAACTCAAGCTATTGTCAAATGAGCATTTCTAAGAGACAAAACATGTAATATTATTCATATTACTACCTGCACTGCAAACTGTGCTTAAGATACCAGTCATAAAAGTCAGGCAACACAAACATGTTGATGATTTGAAACAATATCACTCATTAGAACATGCAGAAACTAAGACATACATTTTTCTATTACAATATTTATTTTGTTAAGGATAAATGAAAAATGTAAAGAATTCAAAAACATGAAGTGTTTGTCATGTTCTGACCATAAAGAGTAGTTTAAAACCACAATTAACAGTCTGGTTTCTACAACTTTCATGTATGAGCAAAAAACTGCATTTAAACTGGAAAGAAATAATGATTATAAATTTATCATGATAATTATCAATATCAAATGATATGGAAAAAAACTGTTAACTGTTACTGATCCTTCCATAGAGTGTAATGATTGTTCATCGAAATGCATAGAGATGGTGTGGAATGGACATGGGAAACTAAATACACACAGCCATTTTCTTGACTTCATTTTTTCCACAGTCTTTGGTGGAAAGTTCTTTAGAGCTTGGCACAGTTGGAACGATGTCTAAGTAAGCAGCTCGATGCAACAACACAAGATTGCTCACAGAAATAGGCAAATAGCACCCATTTTAGCTAGCTAGTCAACCTTAACTCAAATTTAAAGGGGTTATATGATGCGATTTAAATTTTTCCTTTCTCTTTGGAGTGTTACAAGTTCTTGGTGCATAAAGAAGATCTGTAAAGTTGCAAAGACTAAAGTCTTAAATCCGAAGAGATATTCTTTATAAAAGTTAAGAGTTAACCACGCCTACCTAAAGCGGCTCGTTCTAACACACCCCCACATGTCTACATCATGATGTGGGAAGATTTGCATAACGCCGCCCAAATGTAAGTTTTATTCTCGCTGTAGTATTGTTGCTGCCGCCACCGCCATGTTGTGGAGACGATGTGTGTTTCATTGTGAAAGCCAAATCACTTTGTTTGGCCTTCCAAAAAAGGACACAACTAGGCATCAGTGGTTAAGTTGTATTTACAACACTGTTCCGGAACAGTTCAACCCAAATATTCAGATGTGTGCAGCGCA